GCTTGTAAGTTTTCTTAAAAATAACAATATATTGAGTCCACATCAGTTTGGTTTTTTGGAAGGTAAAAGTACAGAGGATGCAATGTATGAAGTAGTAAAGGAAATCACAGACAATCTGGATTCAAGTAGAAAGTGTGCTGCAGTGTTTTTAGACTTGGCTAAGGCATTTGATACAGTGCCTCATGACAAGCTTCTTAATGTGCTGCATAGTTATGGAATTCGAGGAAATGTGCTAAAGCTTTTTACTAGTTATTTAACTGATCGAATGCAATATGTTAGAGTTAATAATTGTCTTAGTGATCCCCAGGAAGTTAAAATAGGTGTGCCACAGGGCACTGTTTTAGGGCCCATACTCTTTATAATATATTTAAATTCTTTGTTATTCTTAAATACTAGTGGTAAAATACTGTCATATGCAGACGATACTGTAGTCATTTTCTCTGGTGATACCTGGGATACAGTTAAAGAACAAATGGAACGTGGCATAACTGCTATTAAAATATGGTTAGATGGACATCAGTTATCTCTAAATGCTGGTAAAACCAAATACATAGCATTTTCAATTACCAGCAAAAATAGGCCCAACTATGATAGGATTAATATTGAACGTTTCAGCATGGTAATAAATGAAGTATATTCCATAAAATATTTAGGTATCGTAATTGACAAAAACATTAAATGGGAGCAGCATATAAATAAATTAACAGCGAACACTCGAAAACTGATTTTTAGATTCTACAAATTAAGAGATATCTTAAGCAAAAAAATATTACTTATAGTTTATAAATCTCTAGTGGAATCCATTTATCGCTATGGTATTCTGGTATGGGGTGGTTTATATAATACGACTTTAAAACAGCTATCTGTTGTACAAAATTATATATTAAAAATCATTTTAAAAAAAAATAAATTATACCCGACCAGTTTACTTTTCAAGGATGGAATATGTAATATTAGATCTTTGTATTTCCATTCGTTGTGTACAAATGTATTTAAAAATGAAAAACAGTTGATAATGAATGTTAGGGTAACTCGGAGTATGTCAAACGAAGCTTTACTAACACCTTTTAATAATAAAACCATAGGTTTGAGATTTGCGACACATTTAGCTCCCAAGACATACAACTTGTTACCCTTAGAAATAAGAAGAACCAAAAGCTTTAAAAAATACTCGCACCTCTGCAAAACATACATAAGTAACAACTATTTGTCTTTTTTGTCATTGATTGAATAATATCCTAGCTAATACGAAAGATGATAATAATAATTTGAATTTTACTCATATTATTGTATATACAGCATATACTTAATGGATTTTGTGCTTGCACAATACAAGTGTTAATTCACTTAGGTGCAATGTGTATAACGTTTTTGTTTCTTTTTTTTCTTCTTAGTGTTAATTTTAATATACTGTAATTGTACTTATTTAATATACTGTAATATACTTGTAATTGTTTAATTCTACGTTTTTTGATGTTTTTTTTTGCAATAACTTTTAAACAGTTTATCCGATTTTGTTGAACATGTTTCTCTAAAATCGATAGTTTTTCCAATATATTGGAAAAACTGATTTTCGATCCAAATTGTTTAAAAAAAAAACAATGTTGCTAATGAAAAAAATTTACTCACGAGATGAGACACCTTTTCTACTGCCTTCCTCTGCACATTTCAACAAGAAAATAGCGGACGTCAACTCATCGATGTTCAAATATTATAGCGACATGACTATTACTATGAAATGAAAGTAAAAGTCGTGTTTACTTTTAGATTGCCAAAATTCTCGAAGGTTTTGTTAAGAGGAAAGTCATCAAACAAACCATAATGACGACAGTGTATGGGGTGACTAGGTTCGGGGCTCGATTACAGATCGCTAAGCAACTGAAGGATATAGACGATTTTCCCAAGGAGTCTGTGTGGGCAGCATCATCCTACTTAACAGGTACGAAATTTGATTTGTCGTTTAAATAGGACATGGGACAATTTTGACACTTTTGGGCGAGTTCCTCGAATTTCTCAAAACGGCCTGAAAAAAAGTAGTTCAGATGTCACGGATTCAATATAAAAAACTGAGAACAAAACAAAAATAACGTATTTAATAAATAGCACAAAACAAGACTAAAAATGAAAAGTGTTATCTAAGCAAGTATTGATTCCGATTTGTGATTTTTGTTTTTCAATTTTTTTCAAAAACCAAACTCGAAACATATCAATTACTTAACTTTTTGTCTACATCTTGAGGAAATACGGGAATCTCCTGAAAAGTCTCTCAATTGGTTCATCCCGTACATACTTCAAGACTGATTTGTTTCATTTGTGGATACATATTTTGAATTTATCTCGAAGCTCTTCCGTTTAGTGAGTTGTTTTGTTTAAATTAATTTGCAGGACGCACCTTTGAATCTCTGAGGTCCATGTTCACCTCAACCAGGGAAATCCAGGACTGGTTCACGGAATGCGCAAGACTGATATCCGCCGTGGGATGCCAACACGTGGAATGGGTCACACCGCTTGGCCTGCCTATCGTACAGCCTTACTTTAAGTATAAGAAATTGAGCATGCCGAACATGTACAGCTCTTATCCGATTGATAAATACGAGTAAGTGAACATTTTGAGTATCTGCATACATCGATCCAGAAAACCTGCCTCCACATCTGCAGATGTCTGAATAAATGACACCCATAATATTCCTGTTTTTTTTTTTGGTAAATTCTGTACATATTTACATGTTTGACACCTTTCGTAGGAGGCCGAACGTGATGAAGCAGAAAAACGCCTTCCCTCCGAATTTCATCCACTCCTTGGATTCCAGCCATATGATGCTCACGTCCCTGCACTGCGAGAGAGCAGGCATTACTTTTGTGTCCGTTCACGACTGCTATTGGACGCATCCGTCTACTGTACATATTATGAACAAGGTAACTACGTTTTTATTTATTAATTTTTTTACAGCATGGTCTGTTTTGAAATGGCTTGGAATAGTAACTCAATCATTTTTAAATCGGCCATAGGCATATTAGCTTTCTTAATTTTTATCGAGATATGATACACTTTACTGCATTGTGAATATATTCAAAAATCGAGAAATAAGTTAAATTACTGAACAACATGCGATTTCTCAGACGAAAAACGATATCGGGGAAAACGTTTTAAAGAGTAAGTATAGTACTTTAAGACCCCATTAATGGTTTCTGCAAAAAAATGGATCTTTCCATGTAACATAACCTCAAAGACGTCAAAAAATCGCGAGTTTGGCACTTTTAAGTTAGGTTATCTCCAAAACCAGGGTCAATTGAGAAATTTGGCTAACAAGGAGAAGGTAAGGTAGTCGGATTTTTGTAATTTTTGATATTTATGGTACGTGTAGTTTGGACCTTGAATAAGAATTTTTCGAAGTAGTTCGACACAACGTTCATAAATTACCGAGATAATCGATTTTGAAGTTTTACCTGACAGCTAAATCCACTAGATGTGACACATTCTTCAATTGGGAGCGTGGCCTAATTAGTAGCGTTCGGGACTGACAGTCACGAGATCGCTGGCTCGAGTCCGTCGCGTGACTTTTTTTTTTCTCAAAACGCATCATATGGTTTTTTATTATTTCTTTCATCTCGAAAATTATGAACAAACGAAATATTATAATAAATACTTATGTATATGTAGGAACATTCTTCAAATATTTCATTAAAATGCACAATTGGTTGATAAACAATATTTATTATGAATTAACAATAAAATTTCTTTAAAAAAAAAACAAACGAGGTCAGGTAGGTTACTTTATTTTTAGTATTTGACATTTTACGCAGATCTAATCAGAGTCAGACTAACCAGATTTAAAATCAGTCTTTATGTTAGTTATTCTTTTTCAAGAATCAATGAGATCTCTAAATTTACATAAATTGAAAAAACCTTTATATAACAAACTATGCAAATAAACTAAATAGACGACTTTCATTTAACAACCTAGTAAGTTTCTTAGCAAAAAGTATTTAAAAATATTAAAAAGGCACTGTAAAACGCAATGGAAAATGCACTGAGCAGTGCTCCCGACTGCGGCAGAAAATTTATTGGTGCCCGTGAAAAATCCATACTACAAAAAGAAGTATATCACCAAGTAACCCAGTAAAAATTGCTTGCTTATCATTTTAGTTCAAAATTCAAGAAGTTTTATTCCATCGTAAGCCCACTGGGCTAATTTGTGCTGCTTGCTAGGAATAAAACTTCTTGTATATGTTGTATGTCTTGTATATTAAAATAATAGGCAAGCAATTCTGTTGAGAGCAGTGGCACCGAGTATTTCGCTTCAAGTCTATTTTGCAACTTTTTTAGAATATCTCGAAAATTTCGGGATCAGGAAAACTCAATCCCGAAAATTTAGAGACTGAAAACCGGTTGGGATTCCAGGATCTTGACAATGGGGATCCCCGGATCAAATCCTCTAATCAACAGATATATTTCAGCTCGTAAATTTGGTTGTGGGCGATATGGATTAGAGGCAACTCCAATGCAGACATAAAGGACAAGGAAATTTGCCAGAGTTGTAAATGCCAGAGCAAAGTTAACGATTTTCAACAAGTTTTCTATTAAAAAATCAGACGTTTTATATTTCACTTCTTTCCTATTTTCTCCGCAAAAAAAAAAACCTTAATTATACATTTTAGGCAGTAAACCGTACTGCTGTTCAAAATATTTATAAAAATTTAATGTTCACATTGTATTTAAATATTATTTTATGCCATGTCAATGTTAACAGCTAGAGAAAATCAATTATTTTCTTACTTAAACACTTCAGAGATGAATTCAAACGAGTCGTAAAACATTCGATGACATACAAATTAACAGTATTTTTGACTTATTTTCACTTTTGTACTAAGAATATTTCCATCTTTTATTATTCGAAATGATGGAACAGATAGGAAATATTCTCAGAAAGCTCCCGGTGTAAATAAGTCGGAAACGCTGTCAGTTTAGATAAAAAAAAAATTATTGGTCTTCGGCTTACCTTGGATGGAGGAGGCACACGGGCCCTCTGCGTCTTTGTCCTGGTGGGCTGCTGCGCGGGCATCTGCTCCTGCGTGCTATTATAGCTATTGTTCACCGGCTGGTACGCGCTAGTGGCGTAGGTATTGGTCTGGTTCAAGTACGGCTGGGTGTTGCTGTACGGCTGCGAGGTGGTGCTGCTGTACTGCGTCTGACCCTTGTCGTACGGCTGGCTCTGGAAAGTCTGGCTCTGGGCATACTGCTTGTTTAAGCTGTCGCTGTTCTGCTGCAGCTGGGAGAAATACTGCGTTTGCGCGGCCGTCAGGGTACCGACCATAGGCACGGGGCTCTGAGACGGCATTTGTACTGACGGTTGTCCCATCTGCAGGGACTGGCCGAGCTGCTGGCCAGACAGCGTGGCGTCGACCGGAGGCTGGTTGGTCGGAGGCTCCGCGATAGAATCCAGGGCGGGCTGGATGCTAGGCGTGAACACCTTGGTGTCGGCTAGGCTACCTTGGTACTCCTCCGTTGACCACTCGTCAGTGCCCGGGAACTCATCCCACGTTTCTTCTGCAATAGTATAAAATTTGCATGCCAAAAATTTTGTGGAACTTAGCAATTGTAAATTATTTACTTTCTTTAAAAAAACGCTGTTTACAAAGTTGTAGAATATGAATATACAGTGTTAAATTAATAATATGTGGTTTTTCCTTTATATTTTGATATTTAGGTAAAGGGTTTATTATATTAAAAATGGGATAACTCGCACTATCTTGCGATGTATTGTATTTTAGATTGATCTAATAAACAACAAATTATGATAGTTCGGAACATGTTATGGATTCATTTTTAACACCATAGAACTTACACGATTTAAATTTGAAGGATATTAGAAATTGGAATTGTCAACAGTTTTACAAAAAGTATTGATAACCTGCCTATCTAATTAAAGAATAAACTGACATGTAATAAAATTAATGATGTCCCAACGCAACAAGAGGTGGTAAGCTGAATATTTAGAATAACTAAATTTGACTTTAATAAACATCTCTTACTTTTCAAGATAAGGAAATTAGATATTTCATGATTCTGTATTTAGCGAAACATTTCAGAGAAATTTTGCTATCAGAACCAATAAAAAGAATTTCATTATGATTTTTTTCACAAAAAAAATCCGGGTTTTAAGGCTTTTTAAATGATTCTTGGGTGGTTTGTCAAAAAAATGTACTGGATCAACTTGTTCAAAAAAATGCATTTTTAGTATAAATTTAAGGGTTATTTTTCTAGTGTTCATTTTGACTTTTAAAAATATTAAATTTCAATGAAAATGTTACAATACATATGTAGTTTTAAAATGAAAGAGTGACCGCAAAAAACTTGTGATTTTCGCCCATTTTTTGACAATTCCCAGAGAATTAAAAAAAAAGTTTTTGGTCGCAAATTGCTTGCCGTAAAAAACTGAAATGAGCATAGCTTTTAGTATTTTGAAAATTTTTAAAATCACCCCTTCTTAGGGGTTGAAAAAATGCCAAAAATGAAGAATTTGAATATTACCAATTCATATAATATTAATATTAGAAATGTCCCCACTGTATCATCTTTTCGCAAACGTCTAAAACAATTCATTTATCACAAAGAACTATGTAGTTGTATTTGTTGTATGTTGCATTAGTTTTTATTTAGTTACGTTAGTTTTTAGTTATATTTTGTTATACTATTTGTTTCCAATTACTTATTTTTCTGGTGGTTACGTGGAAGAGCGAGTAAAATCGAAGGGCGCCACCAGGTTGCTTGAATCTTTGTTATAAATATGTACCCTACTAATAAAGACATTATTATTATATAAAAACTGTTAGCATGTGAATTATCTTAATATTTGTTTTTTTTTAATTTTTACAATTATTTCTGATATTCTCTATTTTTGGGAATGACTCCACCCCCTGAGCACGTTTAAGGGTGGATTTTCTAATTCAACATGCTTGTTTCAGTCATGAGAATAAATCTTTCTTTGTATCAAGAATCATTCGATAGAAAAATTCACATGCTAAGTTTTTATATTTATTGGTAATATTCAACTCTTCATTTTGGGTGTCTTTTCAACCCTTAAATAAGAGTGATTTTTGAAAATTTTCAAAAAACTAAAAGATATGCTTATCTTAATTTTTTACGATGAGTAATTTGAGTCCAAAAACATAACTATTTCCTTTAGTTCTCTGCGAATTGTGAAAAAACGCGAGATTTTTGCGGTCACTCTTTGAAGTCCTTCTATTTATTTTCATTCTTTTTCAGAGAGAGAGTGTACACAGCGCTGAAATTCACGTTAACGGTTAATATAGCTTTACCGTTCGACCTAAACACGTGTTTTCGGTAATCAAAACTTTAAATGCGATTTATTTGAAACAGCATTTTTGAAGCTTGTGTTGGTGATGAAAAACAGTTTGACCGATTTAGCTGAAACTTGTAGGATTTCTTCTTTATGATATCAGCTTCTAGTTAAACTAAAAAATTTGGAATTTTATATTGCAAAACTCAATAATTATTTAAAAAATTACCGAAAAATTGTTAATTTTTGAGAAAATTTTCTGCCAAACAATGAAATTTTTATTTTTTTTTCTGGGCATTTATAGATCAAAATAACGACCCCAGGATCAACACAACGGATTCGTATGGGTTCTCTTTGTTCACATATATCCGCCATAGTGGTGTACCGATTTTTGAGAATTTCAAAAAGTGCCTATATTTCAGAAACTAAAAAACTTTGACCAAAGTCGAATTTACCAATTCTGGCTAGTCATGGATTCACCTATCACCTATTACTGGCTTCTCTGTATTATAATTCTTTAAATCAATATTTTAAACAGAATTTAGTTATGGGCTTGAGAAAATTGGCACTTATCGATGGAATGCCTGACACAAGGGCTCCTGCCCTTCGCACTAAAGCTCTCATTTGTTTTTATAAAATTTGTGTTTTTTATTCGTTTCACATCAGGTTTTTTTATTAGTTTTTAAAATTTCAGTAGGACAATAACCTTTAGGTTACAATAATAAAGATGTTTATATTTTTGATTTATTAATGTAAAAATTGAACAGAAGCGTAGACAATGCTCTCCTCAATTTTATCGTAGTATATAATATCTTGTGTATCTTAAGATTGTAGCGCCAAAAGATTATCTAGGTAAGGGCATTTCAAATAGTGAGTAAAGAGTGTGTATTGGGTACACACTTTGTTGTCTAAGAACTAACAATGCCACATTAACATAAAATATTACATTATTTTAAAAGAAGCACTGCATATTCTTTCCTTATTGGTGAAGATCTTCATCTGTTGATTCCAAAAATATAGATTTTATTGACACTTTAGTTGAATAACTCATATCTTAATTAAGTTTTTTTTTATTATACTCGTGTAAATGTCTATCTAAATATAGTTAATAAGTGTTAATATGTCATTTTTAACAACCTGTACAATCATGCTTCTCTCAATTAAATTTAATTACATTTAAAATTAACAAAAACGATTTATGTAACTGATTTAAAATGCAAGTTTTCAATCTTTTTTGTGCATAATATTGTTATTTCTTATCTTGCTACTGTAAGCATTATTAATCATTGAGATAGGATATACTATTTTATCAATATGTAGTGTTTATAAATATAAATTATCAATATTTATCATAAAACCAAATCTTTCTTTGTCAGGCATAAACTAAAAAAAAGTAGAAAATTGTTGTTTTTAGTTTAATTCCATAATGATATAAAATGGATTTTTAAATTGTTATATGAAATAATTCAGAGTTCATAGCTCAAAAGTAATATAGAATTCCCTGACTTTTTCAAGTTTTCCTTGACTTATAAAAAAAATCCAGGTCACTTGTAGTTCATTTTTATACACTAATCAGTGTTTATGCATACAATTTTTTCTAGACTGGAATCCACAATCTTTTTTATACACAAAGAACCTCTTATAAATAGAGTTCGGGGTTTTCACCGGCTGTCATAGGTATGTTCTTCAAAAACAAATAAATAAACAGGTAGGTATAAATAAAAATAAATAAATTTGCATACTTTATCAGCAAAAGGACATTTTTTTCCCCTTGGCGCGTTCGACATTATTGGAATATTAAATCACGTATAAACGAAGTAAACGTGAAGCCAATAATTACCGTTATTACTGGTTTCGTACGATGCGCTGTAGCGAAAGGCCGTCGCGACAGCTATGATCATCCGACCGAGTCCCGAACTCTACTTAAAAAGGTTTCAAAACCACAAATAGTTTTTTCTTTTAAGAATCCAGGGTCAGCTTTCACAAAATTTCCAGTAGCAAACATCAAATTCCCCGACTTTCATGAATACTTTTAAAATTCCCCGACTATTCCGTTTTTTGTGAAGAATAATGAATTCCCCGACTTTTCCAGGCCGCTATGAATCCTGTAACTGCACTCTTTATACTTTTCAATAAAAAACTTTTGTTTCAGCAATTACTGTAAATGTTAACTTATTTGTGGAAGCAGTTTGGTCTTAGTCTAGTAAATGATCTAAATTTGTTACATCGCAATACAATCAATAAAAGACACATTTTTTCACTTGTTTTTCAAAAAACTATTAATTACAAAATTCCAACAGAGGTTTAACTTTAAACCCGTTTCTTTACAAAACGGTTGATTTCAGCAACAAATACTAAAGAGTACTTTTTGTACTTAAATTGAATGTTTAGTCAAAAATTACATACAGTGCGGAATAAAAGTTATGGTTATTTAAATCCAGGTAAAACACTGTAAGTGCTGTCCTCTAACATTAAACAAAAAACTAAGTAAATATTTGAGTTTCTCATCGTCAATACTCCCAGTTTCCCGAATTTCGTCAAATTGCCATGTTATTGAACAAAAATATAATCAGAACACTAAACAAAAAATTTTTTTTGACGCTCTATGTCTCAAGAACCAAGCCGTTGCGGACCCATGATGATATGAACTTTTTATCTTAAAATTTATCAAATATTCACCCTTTAAGGTTTGTACAAGTACTTAATAAGCACCCTGTATACATACCTGCATTATGATTAGCGGCAATAGCAGTACTGTTGTCCCAGGTGTCAATAGGCTTGCTGTAGGAGTTGCTCCTATTGCCCCTAGGTGGATACCGGCCCCCAGCCCGGCCCCCGCCTCTGCCCCTTCCGCCCCCGCCTCCTCTCGTCGAGGACTGCCTACCACGGCGGTCTCTGTCCCGCTGGAAGTCGGGACGACCGCCGTCGTCCAGGTTACGCTCGTTTTCTTGCCTCTCTCGACCGCGCCAGCCACGGCTGTCGTTGTGACGGCCATGCAGACGAGGGGGACCCCCGCTTTTATTGCGCCCTTTCTCCTTGTCACCCGAGCCACCTGTCTGGTTGGTGTCGTTCCAATCGTCCACGGCTACCGTATCGTCCTGTTTTTCCTGTTTTCCCGCAGAGGCTTGTCTGTTCTTTTTCTTCTTGACGCGCGTTTCCCACTTACCCTACAAATTTATAACGATTAATTATTTTTCAAATAAGTCCGAGATCTTCAACTGAAAATCATCCCTGCACCAAAAAAAAATGAAACGATTAACTGTCAAAGAATTAAAAAATATACTTCTGTACGACGCTGTGAAGAAAGAATATTTACACACAAAATGGTCCAAGTGTTAATTGTGAATTGTCACTATGTGATACAAAAGATTATTTTAAGTACAAACCTTGATAGAACGATTCTTTTTCAAGCTAAAAGGTGTTTTCTGAAATACCTCTGAATACGTTTCACGTAAAGTTATAAAACTTGGGACACCAATTTATCCAATTAGAGTAAAAATTCACGAAGTTGAGACTTTGTCATATGCGTACGAAATTGTCATTTTTTAATATAATTTTCATAAAACAAAGACATTATTTTTACAAATGAGTTAACCAATAACGAAGATATGGGGCATCAATATTACTAGGAGCCTTAGAATTTAATACCACTAATTATTCTGGAAATTCTGTTTGAGTTTTATATTTCCATTGGTATTTCTAAGAAAAAATATCTCTTTCAGTTGTTCGAAGAATAATCCTTAAGAGTTATCTATTTTTAATTTGAATTGAAACTGTCACAAAAACAAATCCAAAATAACAAACTATTAAAAAAGACACAAACTATGGGAATTTCTTATTAGAAATGCAATTTTTAATGTGATGTGTCAAAAACCATTGGCATATAAATTTTCTAGGAGCATAAACTCTTGAAAAAAAATCTAAATTTCTAAAAAAAAATCTCAATTCAAACCTGACTACTACACTGTGCATTTAAATGTAAATATACTGAAAGCAATTTTTATTAATTATGTAAAGTACATTTTCTTAGGCATTTGGCCAGACATTAATTAGCAGTAATTAACTTCAAATCTCAAGTTATTTTAAATTTGATGAACATCTGCAGAAATCATAAATTTAATTTAAAAATGAATACCACTAGGTTGCTAATTAAAATACCCAAGGAAACAAACCAAAATATTTAATTTGTAATTATTTCAATATATCCTAATCTTCAACATGAACATAAACTTATATATTTGGAAAAGGTATTTAAAATACCATTTTAACAATATATTCTATTAACATATTAAATTCATTTATAAAGAATTTAGTTTTGAAACACAAGGACAATTATAATTAAATTAACTTTTAATATGGAGGTGAAATATAAAAGTTAACAGTTGGGTGACTGAAAAAATAAATAATCTAAAATTATGAGCTTTTAGTTATTGTGGTACAAAAATCAATATTCGTATGTCAAGGTGATCAGTTATTTACAGTTTTATAGATAAATGACTGCAACTACAATTTCAGTTTAAGTGGATTAGTATTGGTAAACACTTAGTACGAGATAATGGATTTTAAGAAATGTAAACTATAAACTATTAGGTATTTAGAAACATAAGCACATTGTTGTTACAACAAAAAAAAACTGTTAATGATTAATAAGAACATAATTCAAATAGTCAACAAAACAAACAATGTACTTTAGTTTGTATTTATATAATTAAAGTAGTTTCAAATTTTATGAACGCTTTATAAATGCACTTCATTTTTAAAATCTCAGTTTTTATAAATAAACATTTACTCGATGCAAAAATATGCAATTTCTTCAATTTAAAGATGACAACTATTATTAGTTAGATGAAATTAATTATGTTAAGAAAATACATATATATTTCTTTTAATTTTGAAGGACATCCTAAAAATAAATAGACCTGATACACAAAGATTGTTGAAAACACTGTGCTTAGAAAAAATAGTTATGAAATTAAAAGAAAAAATATATATATTTCCTTTTTGTGGAGTAATAAATTGTGAATTACAGTGAGATACTTACAGTGCCCATATTTTCAAAAAGCATGTTACTCGCCAAATTTATATCATTGTCACACTCATGAAGTGCCAAACATACTTCTTCTTCGGACCTATGCGACATTTCAATCAGCTGTTTAACTTTATCTTTAATACTGGGGTCCTCACCTTTGGAATTTGCGTCTCTATGTTGCTGTTTTTCACCACTGCCTTTTCCTAAAATAATAGACATTTAGAACACCAAAATATATTTCACGGAGGCTATTACCACTTTCTGATTTGTCTGACTTGTGAGATTTATCGGCCTTCGCCCCCTTACCACCTTTAGAGGTGGTCCGATTACTCGAGCTCATCTTTTTTTGTACAGTATGTACAGAGTTACTATTTACAATCTACTGGAATAGAAAGAAGTAATGTCAATGTCAAATGTAGCAAAATTATTATATTAGAACAAACTACATGTAAAAATTGATAGAAAGAAAACACTAGATTCCACTATAAGGCCATTGACACTGAAGCTGAATATATGACCTTATTACGCGTGTTACATCAGTTCAACGTCTGGTAAGTACGTTTTCGAAAAACGAGGGAGAAAAACGATAATTTTACGGGAATAAATATTTTCCTGTTATTTAGTTTAGATGTTATTGTGACATCGGCAACACTGCAAAATGCCGTCATACAAAGGACCTAGTTGTTATTATCATCTTACGAGCACAGCATATAAAAATTTACCAAGTTTTCCAAGAACCGTGTTTGTATTTTTCACTAGGGTCTACTTCTGAACGTTATTTTACCAGCGAACCATTTTTATCACCATGTGGATAGACGCCATTTCAAGGCTTGTAAAGCTAATCTGTATATTGACAATTAGAATGTTTTAAGGATAGATATTGAAACATCTATTAGTTTAACTGTCCTTTTAGTGGAGTCTAATGAAAATATTAAATTTTGTTAAGAAATACTTAAGATCACTTTCACTAACACTGTTTTTTTTTTAATTATGAAAAACGGAGGCCGTTAACCATACCTGCACGAATGTGTTAATTCTGCAAACCACAACGCACTAAAGGTCACGTGACTGGGCAAAATGGCCTCCAGCCCCCGTAAGGGCGGGATAATTAATCACACGGTACGACTTGAAAAATAAATACAATCGAAAATAAACTAGTGATAGATGGTTCACTTGTAATCATTTAAAATATTCTCAAATTGACACAGCTAATAATTATGACGAAATTAATGTTTCTTCGTATTCTAAAGTTTAATCCTAGATGGAGAAGGTAGTGAAGAAACCTTCTTTGTCGATTTTTCAAACTGCCATGCTGTCAATGTCAATTGTCAAATATTTTCTGTCTGGTGTCAATTTTTCAATCAAATTTGTGTGCGAATTTGATGTATGCGATGTGTAGTTATCGAAATTTCATGTCATATCGTTTATAGTTAAATTTCAACTGTTAGATTTATTGTCTATCGCAGAATATGGATTATAGAATTGTGATTAGGTATAGATAGTCTATTTATATATGTTAACTCATGGTTAATCTATCAATTTGTGACAAATCATGTATGTACTACTGTTAAAGTATTTATTTATATTAGGTAATTATTAAACTAGCTAGAGCATAAATAGCAAATGTGCATAACGTCAAAAAAAGACAACTCTATTTCCTTATTTTACAATGGATTTGAATTCGATATCCTAGCTATAAAAACGGATTCAAAAAAACAAGTTATGCAAGTGTAAAATCCAGAAAAATTTTAAAATTCACTAGTTAATTTTACAATATTTAGAGATGTACTAAATGCGATATAACGGCTTAGGGCATTGTGATTATCTACCTGTAAAGTGTATTAAAAATGCATTGCCACAGAATAAATTAATTCAGTAATAAAAATTATTAGTAACATGGCGATGGCCCACCTCCACCCACTTACACCTACCTGATGTGCACACTGTCGATATCACACTTTATCACTTATAATAATACACTGAACTATATATACACATGCTGTTCTAAAAATCCTGCTGTTCTTCCAATATGCGTTAGTATTAGGCGCCGCCCTTTTCCAGAAGATGACTAATCCAGTTGAAAATCCTTCCAGAAATACCTGCCATTTGCTTTGGATATTGCCATCGTGCCACACTTTTGTCACCGTATGGCCTTCATTTATCCATGTTTTGTCCGTGTAATCTAAGATTTAGTTTTCGAGCTTTTAATACTTCTTAATTTCTTCGCCATATTGCTATTTCCTCTTTTTCTATCAGCATACTCTTTCGGTTTCGTTTTATAAAACGGAAATTAATGTCGCGCATAGTTCGCAAAAGCATCCCTCTAGATATTCTAAGTAAATTTTGATCCTGTGAAATAGCGGTCTGAATTTTTTTTATTGTCAGAAGCCCATTTTTAAAATAGCATCCAGCTTGAATTACTCCCCATTTTTAAGAACACGAACCCAAAATCAGTAATAAATTAATTACAATCACGATTAAATTAGTGGAGATATCCTCGGACTTCTCCCGCACGTACGCCTATTTGCCTGTACCGACAGAATTGCACGGAACCGAATAAACGCAACCTAATTGACATCACACACCAAACACCAATGAGTCTAGAATTTGCTGCGGCACAAGAGAATCGGAGCAGAATCTGGTGCACACGCCAAATGGAACAGAATATCCTAAAATTTTGCAATATCGACTGCTCTGAGAGAATCCGGCACACAATTTTATACGAAGAATTTACAAACGGCTCGTACTTCTCTTTGTATCGACTGCTAAAAATCATGAGCCGGATTAAAGATGAAATCATCGTCTATTATTTCGGGATCCGACTGTAGGAGATTCATTATTGAAGGTATCGTGGGTGTTATAAGATAATAATATCCTTATGACACCCTAGGCACCATAATTATTTTAATAATATGAAAGGTAGAAATAACGCATGAGACACTATTTTTCTCAACTTTATTTCTGATCAGACACAACACAAATTAAGCAAAACGCTTAAACCATACAATACCATTTTTTTAGTTAATATTATATAAGTAAATGATATATCACTTTAATAACATGAACCTTGTATGAAATTTTAAATATGAAATCATGACTATAATATTAGTTATATACAGTTACGATACAGTATCCATATAACATTAACCTATCTCAAATTAACTATAGGTATGCCATATTATTTCACAATAAACCAAATAACATTAATCTACACCATGCACATGATTATGACCGTTACAAACGTTAACGAAAATGAAATGGAAATTAAACGGAATTGTACTTAAGATAAATACACAAAAATAAAAATTGTGCTCTATTTACCTTAACAGCTACGCTTTTAAATATATTAATATCTCTTAATACTTAATCCTATTTACAAAAAAATAATAATAATGAAAAATGGCGAATGAAACGAAAAATAGAGAGACTTATATACAAAGGAGAAAATAGAAAAAAAATTTGCAAAAAATATATATAAAATCACAACAGTAATTTACATACATTAACAGTCAGTCCTATAGAATAATACTATTTTCGACTATGTATTACAAAAATAATTCAGTCAGTTTCGTATAATAATGGACGTTAATATAAGACAGCATAATTATAATTTTTAATTGATCCTTGTTATGCCACTGAGAACAGAAACATGGGAAATGCTAAACGACTGTTTTCAAAGTAGGCAGTAATCACTATTCACGTTTTCTACAGGACCCTCCAACCAATTACTTAAGAGGGATCTACAGCAAGTAGGCAACCAGCAACACATTTTCATGGATTTTATTACACAGTTTGTCTAAATATGAATTAATGCACCAATAACAAACTTTCCTCCATTCTAACGCAGATTTTCTATAAAATGGAGTTAATTTGGAACTCAAACTACTTTTTGTTGGAAAGAAATTTGTAATTTGCCGCATTTGAACAAGCGGCATCGTAAATTACAAATTTCTTTACACCAAAAATTTAAGTTTCAAACTAAGTCCATTTTATAGAAAATCTGCGTTAGAATGAGGGAAAGTCTGTTATTTGTGCATTAATTCATATTTAGACAGTGTAATAAAATGTGTATAAAAATGTATTGTTGGTTGGCTATTTGCTGTAGAGCCCTCAACACAGTACTAAGATCTGTATTTATCCCCAAGTTAACACACACAAGTTTTTTCAATTTTGCTGAAAAATCGGGTGTCTTTCTATTATTTGGATTTACCAGAAATATTAAAACACTGTGGGGTACACAAATAGCAACACCGATTAATTTAAAAATGGAATAACAGTTCATGATAATCTTGCAGGGAAGTTTTAAGACATTTTTTATCGCTTTCGTATTGTTGCTATCTTTGATATGAAAGTTGGACTAACTAAACCGTTTTAAAAAGAAGGTGCAATATTTCTCCAATCGACTCACCTTCCTTAAGCTCTTACGGGAGGTATTGTAACCTCTCAGGTTTAAACACCTCGGAACTTATAAATTGAAAGATCCTGTATAACTGTGATTTGAAACATCGCTATTTTAAAATCAATTATGCTAAAATGGCAAGAGTAAGTACAAAATTTGTTGTTGGGCTAGTTTCCCAAAAGTAGCCCACACCAAACAGTTTCTGCAATGACACAAGTTGCGTTTTTCTTGCATATTTAAAAGTTCTTTTAGAATTGAAACAATTTTGTAGATTAAAATTCAAGCTTCAGTTCAGTTTCACGTCGTTATCCGAAAAAGAAACGATGTTATTGCAAAAACTATTTTATAAGTCTTTCTTATTCCACTAACAATCTGGAAATATAAGATATGAGCTGGAACTTTCAAGTTTCAGCTAAACGACGACACTTTGATAGATGTAGAACCCTAGGGAAGTATTTTCCAATTTTTCTATTCTCATTACCTTAAATTGCTTTTGATTACATCGAATATGCAGTTTCAACATAAAATCGAAATGCTAAATAACAAATATTACAACTAGAGCAGTAAGATTACACCCCTACAGATACATATCCGGCTTTCTTCTTCCGTTTAGTATATTTTGGGCGCCGACCTGTCGTTGGTTGACTTGGCCCTTTTCAAAGTGGCGCCCCTCTTTATCTGATCCATCAGCGATTCGTGGCACACCTTCGGATCGGGCTGTAAACCAATGACGACGTTAAAAAAATGTAAATAGGATATAAAAAAAAATCCGCTTCCCAAGCAGATAAATTAACACGATTCGTTTTAATAGGCTGTTAGAATGTAAGTCACATAATTTAAAAATAAACTTTTACGGGTAACAGTTCCATAAATAAATGAACCTATACAGAGTGATTCAGAACTGATAGTTAAGAGGTCTCTATAGCAAATAGGCAATCAGTAATACATTTTTATAGATTTTATTACACAGTTTGTCTAAATATGAATTAATGCACAAATAAACAGACTTTCCTCCATTCTAACGCAGATTTTCTATAAAATGTTCTATATCATGAGTTTAAAACTCAAATTACTTTTTGTTGTAAAGAAAGGATCCCGCACAATATATATGGAAAATGGTCTTTCGGTTTCCAGGGTCACCGGGGGGTGACCGTCGGCCATATTGGATCCGCCATCTTGGATTTGGAAACTATGAAAATCTATAGTACGATCATATTCGATGCAAAGTAATAAATCATTGCCTGTCAAGGGAACCAATGAAGTACGCCTTTAAGGGTTTTACAAATTGAATAATTTCTTTATACATTATGAAGGGACGAGGGGATCAGTTCAGGTCTGGCACCCTTGTTGCTACAAAAATTCCTTTATTCTCATAAACTATTTATTTTAAATGTAATTTATTATAAATCCAATTTGTTTCCTAAATTCCACATATGTACTACATTTTACCTCTGTACGCGCCACCGTTGTGTACTTGTTTTTTGGAAGCGCTCTCTAATTGACGGCAAAGCTCGCCAGGTTAGTATTTGACGTATAACCGACCAGTTCGTACACTCGATGCACCTGGGCGACTACAGCTACTACCAGAACACAGTGCGTATGCAGCGGTATTTCAGATTTTACATTGAATTTCATTTTAAATTTGAAATGATTTATCTTACGCCTCCTAAAAATGATGACACGATTTTCCTTTGATAAAAGGCCGACAATTTTTTGCTCTACTTTGCATCGTATACGATCCTACTATAACTTCATATTCACGATCAGCGACCATGAAATCAGACAAAAACATTGAGTAGAAGAATGCATGACTGATCGTCGGCCATATTGGGTCCGCCATCTTGGATTTGGAAACTATAAAAATCTAACTTCATATTTGCCATCAGGGACCCTGAAAACCCCCGAGAAAAAAAATCAGACATAAATATGCTGTAGAATGACAAGGGGTTAACTGACCTACTCATCGTAATCAACGACCCTAACTTATTAGTTCTCATCAGCGTGTCATAGGTGAGACAACTGACAAACGAACCAGGGAATCAGCACAACAGATGGAGCCATTTGCGCTTCCGCGTACAATGTATTTCCTTGTCGTGACGATACGACGCATAACAGCTGGTTCGTTCGTCGGTTGTCTCACCTATGACACACTGATGAGGACTAATAAGTCCAAAACCGGACTGTGCCTGGTGGGTTAAACTGACGAACGACTCTAGGTATTGCGAGTATAATTCAGTGCCGGTAGGGGCATATAGCTCTAGGAGTAGTTGTTTCTCGCAACACTGACAATTAAAAGCGGCATTGTAAGTTACAAATTTCTTTACACCAAAAAGTAATTTGAGTTTCAAACTAAGTCCATTTTATAGGAAATCTGCGTGAGAATGGAGGAAAGTCTGTTATTTGCGCATTAATTCATATTTAGACAAATGTGTATTAAAATCTATAAAAATGTATTGCAAGTTGCCTATAGAGCCCCCTTAAAAGAAAATAGAACAAGTAAATTGGAAACCCCAAGTGAAAATTTTTATACCAGGATATACCAAATAAGTATTTATCTTAAAATTCTAACTTGGTAAATTTACCGACCTAAGGTCATCAAAATAATTTTTTTCCATTTCCACAAAAATTTTTTTACCTTATATCAAAGTTCTCATTATTCTCAACAACTTTTATTAAAAAGCTTTTTGATATCTCTTCCCGGTCTTTATAAAATTATGTGTTGACAAAAAACACTGGTTTGATCAAGTCTGTTACTGATTTTATCCGAGTTGTCGTGAAAAACCAGATACTGCATTGTTCCTATTCATTATTGACATGTTTTAACTATTATTGTGCAAATTTACTACATAAATTATAAAAAATGTATTATTTGAAAAACATTAAATTCTGAATTTTAAGAAGTGCGAAAAGATTCAAAATTAGCAGTAGGGCTTTATACAGACAAATTATTTATATCAGTAATGAATACAAACATTGAAAGTATCTTGTTTTCCTCAACAGAGCTGATAAAATCAGTAACAGACTTGACCGAACTAGTTTTTCTTTATTTCATTTGAACGGTAAAAGGTACTGAGAAAAAGTTGTTGAGAAAAATGAGTTCTTTCATATGATGTAAAAAGTATGAAATTGGGGAAAGCAATTTTCCTGTAACGTCGACCGACCATCAGTTTTGGTCACCCTGTACACTTATAAATCTAGACGCCCTGCATACGAATAAATTTCATAGACGTAATGATTATGATCACAAGCACGCATTCACAAAACACGCAAAATAATGTTAAAATGGAGCAATACAGCAAATAAAACATTAATTAATCCTAAACCAAGTCTGTTTTTATCTGAAAATTTACGGTTGACAGCGGCAACTAACTGGTAAAAGGAACAGTACTTGCTGCGTTCTTTTCCTCAGCACGTTGGACAAAGTAAAGTAAATTAGTTAATTAATAGCGCAAAAAGGCCTCCAAATAGCGATCACACTATTTCTCACCTTATTTCAATTAACTCAAAACTTTTCGTCATAGTCGAAACTCTGGAAAATACGAACATTGTTATTAAAAAGCAAAGATATTCGGCAAATCTTCGGGATTAACTTCAAAACTGTTTGAACTTTTACTACACGAAAATACTGTTATGCAAAATAATGAATCACTTTTTGATTTTAACATTTTTTAAAATCTGATTTAATAACTTTGATAATTCGAAATTTTTCAAAAATATCAAACGATTAAGTATCTATTTCTCAATGCTTGCAAAGATTTCTCTAATTAATACAAAATTCAATGATCAAGTCCTTTCACCGATTTCCTAATATCGACCCACCTGCGCTTTGCTGTTGATGAGCTGCCTGATCTTGTTGGCCTTGAGCTGGGGCTGTTGGACGTTGGAAATGTGCTGCTGGGCCAGCTTCGCATTGAGCGAGTCCAAAAAACTTTGACCGGGGCCGCTTCTTTGCTGGGTCAACTTGTTGACTGGCGAGTTGCTGGTGGCTGCCGTTGGTTCGTCGGAATGTCTTCGAGAGGCTTTGGGACTCAGCTGAGGGGCCAACTTGGCACTGAGGGAGGCTATGAAGTTCGAGCCAACGCCACCCGGCCCTAAAAAGAACAAGATATAAAAAAAAAATCCTAAAAAAATATAATGGGAAAGCTTTTGTCATGTCCAAGATTCCTTACCGTCAGATTTTCGGTCCGCGCTCTGCGACCTGAAATTGTTGATTCGTCTTACGGCGGTGGGGCTTCCGCCGCCACCCATTATTTGGGACGGTTGTGCATATACTACTCCGCCCGACTGCGACACATACGACACCTTCGTCTGGGACTGGAACGTGCTCAGAACGGGACCCTGAGTCGGGATGGTTGACGAAGTTTGCACAGTCTGTATGTTCTGATAAATATTTTGCGTGGAGGCCGACATCCTTCTGATGGAATTCGGGCTGGCCGGCATGTGTTTCAGTTCTGTGAGCGCTTTTACAGTTTCTGCCACGTTGATACCTGAAACTGGGACCGAAATAAATCGTGGAAATTCATTTTTAAAATTCAAATTCATTGTTATCCAAGCAAAATAAGTAACACAGTTAAAAATAAATGCGCGTGTATTAAAAATCGATAAGAAGTTGTTAATACCTGGCGTTTGAGCTTTTTGTTGATTAGTGGGTTCCAGCAAAAATGCAGGAGGCGGTGGGAGGTGCTCCAGACTGCCCACAGAAGAAACCGTATTCGTGATGGAAGACGTTCTTCGGATTGGCGGTGGTGGCTTTTGGGTTTGCATGGATCCACGTCTCAAGAGGTTATTTCGCATTGTACCACCACCTACGGCTGTAAAAACATATGCATATTATAGTCCAATCAATCTGTCACGGCCTTATTTTAAATTTACAAAAAATACCACCTGGAAACAAAAAATATGGTGATATAGGAAAAAAATTCGAAGATTTTTGCTGTGGCGCATAAACGGCGAAGTTAACCTAAAAAATTCATAAAAGTCAAAAAACGGTTTTTGCTAATAAAAAAAAAAACTCCAATCGAAAAAAGTTAAATGAGAAAGTTGTAGCTATTAAAAAAACCTATCGATTCGTATTTTTAAATATATCGAATGTTATATTACTTTTCGAGATATATCGAAAAAAACGTCAAAAATCGACTTTTTTTGTTTTTGCTGTATCTCTTGCAAATTAAGGTTTTGAAACTTGAATTTTTGAAAAAAAGGTCATCTCGAAAATTGGCTCTTCTAGCTCGACGAATAGTCGTAGAGAAACGAATTAGGGCTCATTTTTTTCCTTAAGAGTTGTACTTTCATAGTAAAAAAGAGTAACTTTTTTCAAAATCATCTTTGGACACTTGAAATGAATAAAATCGTTATCATTCTTTTTTACCATGAAAGTACAACTTTTAGGGAAAAAAATGAGCCCCGATTCGTTTCTCTATGACTACTCGTCGAGCAAGAGCCGATTTTCGAGATGACCTTTATTTCGAAAAAACGATATAACTCGAACAATTTTTAATATTTTTTTATTTTAAAAAAGGGTACTTATTCGTTTGCCGAGAGCTACATATACATCAAGTAACAAGTTTCAAAATCTTAATTTACAAGATACAGCAAAAACAAAAAGTCGATTTTTGACGTTTGTTTCGATATATCTCGAAAAGTAATGTAGCAATCAATATATTTAAAAATACGAATCGATAGGTTTCTTTAATAGCTACAACTTTCTCAGTTAACTTGGAGTTCAAGGTTTTTTTTATTAGCAAAAAACTGTTTTTTTGACTTTTATGAATTTTTTAGGTTAACTTCGCCGTTTATGTGCCACAGGAAAAATACACTATCTTTCTTAGGATTTTTTTGCTATATAACTATATTTTTTTCCAGGTGGTATTTTTGTAAGTTCTTCTACCTATTGATTGGACTATTCCTTATATAGACAGAATTAATATCGTTAGAACAATATAAAACGACAAAACCTAACACTTGTATGTCACAATCTAAAAAACAAAGAAACAAAAAATATATAATATGTTAAGTTGTAAACTTCAAATAGACAACTAAAACGTTTTTGTGACTGAAATAGTTGATATTCCAGTTTTAACGTTCAAAAATTAAAATTCTATACTTCTTCCTATCTTTTTAATCTCTACCAACCTCTCACGTAAAATTTTTACAAATTCAAATAGAAAACTGAAAGCAAAGCAAACTAAACCGATTGTAGTGTCTTTACCTGTCATGGAGAGGGGCCGTCTTCTCACTGCATTAACGAGATCGTGGTTGCGGGGGAGCGTGCAATACTTGCTTGCAGTACCATTAACATCTAATAACACACACTAGTGATCACACACATGCCTGAGAGACTGTTAATATATGACTGTCGGATCAAAACTGCGAGGAAATCAGAGATGGAAAGGAAGATAAATGGCACAGAAAAGTGTGGCACACTAAACTGGAAAATTGGGTATCGCATGCCAATTTCTCTTTTCTTAAATGGGTAATTAGTTGATTGGAAAACCAAACGGTGTGACAGAGTATTAATGTTGATTGACTGAATTAGAACAGATATGATAATTGAATGTGTATTTCAAAAAAAAAAAAAAACTCCGGAAAGTTGCATAAATTATATATATTTTTTTCCATCCAGTGCTATTTTCATAGTGATTAAGTGAATTTTACTTATCAAATTTTGGTGTTGAATTGAAGATATATGGTGATTTACCACAAAGTCACGAAATTAACAATCAAATTATAAACATCTCGTAAACCTAAAAACTGAAAATTAAAATAAATGGAGTGGTAGCATATTCGTCCATTCCCATTATGCTGGATTAACTTTGGCCATCTTTTGCCCGTTTAGTTTTCTATTGTCACATCACATCAGGTGTATTGATATCTCTAGGCCACCTAAAGTAGTTCAATATTAGGTGTCACTGACATTGAGATTAGCAAACTAATAAAATAGTAAGAAAAAATTTGATATTAATTCTTTCAAAATCTTTTTAAGGTTCGGCACTTCGTACAAAAAAATATGGTAATTTTAAACTATCATGTCGCAAAGTTATACAGAAGCAATCTGGTTTTGTTTATAATGCAATTTCACTCTCTGTCAACATCTAGAGTTGGTATAAAAAGGTGACAACAGGCTACAGCGATAAACGAGCACATAGAACTAAGTTCGGGGGCTGCCCAGTAACGGCGTAGACAAGAATTTGTGTGCAGTTTACGAAACGAATTATAATTCAACTATTTATATGGTTTGTTATAAATTGATTTCCATAAAAAACTGAACCCCTGATATATTTTCATCATTATGGTTAATCGCAGTATTTATTTTAATTTCATATCTCGTATAATCTCACAAAATCTTAAAAATTGTATATACAAAAAACATACCAATATTATTCTTTAATGATAACCAATAAAATCTGAAAAGTGGTGTGATTTATGCAACTTTCCTCTGTACAGGGTGTTAAAAGTTTGACTGCCTTAATTTTAAAAGACGAGATAGAATATATTAAAATAAACAAAAAAACCCTATATGACATGGGTCCTAAACTCAACCATTGCCGAGGAAAAAATTATCAAAATCTCCAACTTGATGTACAAAAGTTCGATCACTTTTTTAAACTTCTTTATGCTTAATTCTAAAAAATAATTAACATTGTAATAAATTTAAAATTCAATCAAATTCATATTGAGCAATGTGACAATGGCATGGCGGTTTATTAACACGAGGTACTAAGGTGTCCAGCAACCACCAATACACAATTCAGTTGGTATCTGGAATTGGACCGTGTCCGAGTGTTTTTTGCGTACCACTATTTCCTTCTCTTGAGCTGTTTTCCAGCTAGTTCGCGAAAATTGGATTCGAAGGTGTCGTACGTGCATCGAAAATGGTGTGGACATTTTGAGCAAATGTTGTAGTTTGTTTTGTACTTGTTTAAAAATTACTGAATTTTGCTTTTTGGTAAGTACCTAAATTATTTTTAATGCGTATGATTATTTGGACGACGTAAATCTTTGGGTATTTTAATTACATATTTTTCAATTATGTAATTTGATTAAAAGTTAAGTTCCCGTTTTAAGAGATTCATAATTATTAAGATTCGAGCTAAAATTTAAGCACAACACTGTCTTCGTACTACAAAATCGATACATTTTATTTTATTTATTAAAAAACTGGAAAACAGTCGTCTTGAAATTTACTAAATGTTTCACAATAATAGCTGTTTACATTTTTTCCGTAGGACAAGTCTGCATTGTGCACACCTGGTGTGAATCAGCAGGTTAAGCAGGTTAAGCGCTGTTGTCACATTGTGAGGAAACTCCCCAATATTAATACTCGCTGTATTTTTTTGTTTACATATGATTACTCTATCTCACGCTGAAGTAATGGCAGTCAAACTTCTTACACCCTGTATACATGAAGGTTTCCACTTCTAATACCTTCTGCAGTTCTAATTTCACAGTACGGATATATGATTATTGAAAAAAATAAACAAGTGCAAGAAAAATCATGCAAACTCAATATTTCATGTCTTACCCTCAATGTGCTGTGAATCTTCAACCGTGAAAGTAGTCTGGCTGCCATAACCACTGGACGATTCTAGGGAACTTTCGCTAGTACTGCTCTCTTTTTCTCCCTCATTTGTCTGTAAATCAAGTAACGATCAATGCACATAACGAACATACTGGAACGGTCTTAAACCTATCAAGTGTTTCGGTAACTTATCGACAAAATTTCGGTACCTTTTCGGGAGGACTTGTGAATTCGGCAGGGGGCGGGGGAAAACTCTTTTCTTGCGCTTTGTTGGCCGCCATGCTGGCCAGTTCGTGCATATTCACGTACGTGGGCTGTGGAGCACTTTTCGAAAGGTGTGTGGGCAGAGGAGAAGGCTTCTTTATGACGGAAAGTTCGGCTCCTGGTGGCAGAACCCTGACACCTTGCATGCCGGCTATGGTTTTGGCAGGCACGCTGGGGCCACTAGGTCTTTCTAATGAGGAGCACCGCTGAGAGAAGACAAGGAATTACCCACACAAAATAAAACATTAAAACAGCAACGATTACGTCTAACACAAAACTGTAGCACCGTACACTTTTACTTACTGTTGGTAGAGGTGGCTTAGAAACCGACTTCACGCTGGACGCCGGACTTTTGGGTTGAGCTGTTGTATCGGTGGGATTCGACGTAACCGGACTGGCAGGCTGAGAAAGGCTCTGTTCCGGAGCTTGGAATGTATAAACAGTGAGAGGGGGCCTCTGGTGGCCTTTTTCGTAAGCTAAGACACGATAAGAGATCAGGTTTGTTATTCGATTAATTTTTTTATTGCATACCTGATGATATAGTATGCGGCCTGTCGCTGATTATAGCCGAGGCTGCTCTCTCGAACTGCATAGTTTCCTGTAAATTCGGCCAGGTTGACGTAGTTGTGGGAACAGTTGTAGCCGAGAAAGGTGTACAAGGAGTACTGGAGGCGCTGCTGTTGTTGCTGTGTTCTGACATATTAGAGACCTGGAATGAGAGCAAGAATTTGTGAAAAACCCTGGAACAAATATTCCATACGACTCTTATAAAGAGGTATTAGCATTGGAGTTGATAAAGGTACCATTTTGGTTACAACTTTTATATTAGCAACAGTTTTAGCTCGTCATGACTTCACAATTTAATTATTTACTGTGTTTCACTTATCTTATTTCAAACTGAAACGTTTCCACATATTTCAACTATTTTATTATGTTGCAATTTGTTTTTTTTTCATTCGACATGTTTCACTTGATATGAATATTTTCAGTAAATGTGAAAATATTAGGAGCATACATCCTACACTATTTTTTAACAATAAAAAAATTCTCAAAAATTTGTAACAATAAAAAAACAAAAAGTAAAAGGAAAAGCTTATCTAGTGTTGATAGTTTTTAATATAAACTGAAAAACTTCTTGATTATTTGTAAAAATATTTTATTCAAATTAATACAAGGTGATTCACTATATTTTGACTCCTCCTTTAACTTTTTTGTTCCAAGAGTTAAAAAAAATGTGAAATACCAAAGTTGCAGGATTTTTTATGAATTTTTCGAAAATCATAGTAGAAAAACAAATGAAGTCCAAACAAAATGACCGAGGATTAATTGTTAATTTAAATGGAACACCCTGCATATTTTTAGATATTTGAATAGAACGTTCCCTGTTAAGCATAGTCATATAGGGTTTGTTGGGTCCATCTCTAACAATAAGCGAGATAATATTAAAAAACGGAAAGAAGGTTTTTTATTAAGAAAATAAAATATTTTGTAATTGTTGTACGTTTTTCAGGCATTTCTGCCTTTTTTCCAATTACATAAGGATTTACAGATTTAGTTATAATATATTTTGGCATATTGGATGCGGTCTTTTCGTATAGATATTTTAACTTAAATAACGAGCGTTCAAATAAAAACGTGGTCGAAGTTGGCTCTGACACATTGGACGTAGGGCGTAGCTTATAGCGACCAACTTAACCTCATTTCTCAACGAGCTGTATAGCAGCTGTCAGTTTCAATAACAAAGCGGCGATACAGCGCTTTGACACATGACGTTTAAGTTCATTTGCTATACGCTACGCCCTACGTCCAAATTTTCAGAACCAACTTGACCACGTTTTTATTTGAACGCTCGTTATCACTAATTAGGCCGTGAGAGGCCTATTTACTCATGGACAATGATATGGCAGGCCATGACAGTGACAGGTGATGTTTTGACAACATTGTTATTGTTTGACAGTTTGTATTATTTAATTAAAATGGGTTACACAGAAGTAAAAAACTGAAATATTATAGCAATTAGAATAGAGTAAAGCTCTTCTTCATACACTATTATAATTCTTAACAATATTTCAATTTTCTACTTCTATGTAACCCATTTTAATTAAATAATAATACAAACCGCCAATGTTATCATGACATTACTACCTGGCACTGTCACGGCCTACTAAATAACATTATCCATGAGTAAATAGGCCTCTCACGGCCTAATTAGTGAGATTTAGTTAAAATACCTATACTCGTACACATTTTGGACAGTTATCAATGTCCGATATGTCAAAATATATTACAACTAAATTTGTAAATCCTTACGTAATTGGAAAAAAAGGCAGAAATGCTTGAAAGAGGTGTAACAATTATTACAAGATGTCTTATATTCTCAATAAAAAACCTTTTCATTTTTTAATATTATCTCGCTTATTGTTAGAGATGGACTCAACAAACCCTATATGACTATGCTCCGCAGGGAACGTTCTATCCAAATATCTAAAAATATACAGGGTGTTCCATTTAAATTAACAAAGTTAACATCCGCGGTCATTTTGTTTGGACTTCATTTGTTTTTCTACTATCATTTTTGAGGACTTCATAAAAAATCGTGCAACTTTCATTTCACATTTTTTTTATAACTCTTAGAACAAAAATGTCAAAGGGGGTCAAAATATAGTGAATCACCCTGTACAAAGAGGTTTCTAGCGAGTTAAAATATATTTCAAACTTTTAGATAATAAAGTGGTAAATATGTATAATTATTACAAAAGTCTACAGTTTTTTAAATTTGCTTACATTAGAATAATTGCTTTGCAGATAATTATTTTCATACTAACTAATCAAAACGTTCCAATTTAAAATAACCGACATACAAGGGTGGTTTCATGAAATGTGATTGTGATATATTTTTAATGAAAATGACTGAAGAACAAGTTCTGAACAAACAGAATCCCCAAAGCTAATATCTCAGAGAAAGTTTTTGCGAGAATAAGCATAAGCCTGATGATGTCCTAGGATTAGTGTTATCTAAATGAGTGAGTAGTACATCGGCCGATATTTGTCCCTTACCTGAGCCACACTGAACGATGACGGGGGTCTGGGATAGAGTGTGTCTTGAGAGGTAAATCCAGAGTCTTGGCTAGATACTGACATGACACGCATTGTACCACGACTTACGGGCTGTACGCCAACAAAATAAGAGAGAAAAAAAAAATAAAAAAACGTAACAAAATGTTAAAACTTATAAAAAGAAACAAATATAATTTATTGTAAAATTGAACTAAAAATGATATATTTCAAGTATATCTAATTAAAACCAACTAAATAGTTTAATATTCCATACAGATTCATATTAGTTAGTCCAATCTCTTACCTGTGATAGGGATCTCTGCCAATGAGGATGACTGGGCGAATGGTGGCTCTTGGAGCTACTAGATGAGGAACTGTTGATGGAGCTTATAGAACACATAGAAGATTTCCTAGAACCTAAGCTGGACGGTGAAGAAGGAGGCGTTTGGAATGACCAGCCACTGTCCGAGCTCTTCAGATCGGCGATGACCTGTTCTGAAGCAGGGGGTAAAGTTTGTGGATCAGAAGTGTGTTTCTGTAGTTGCTGAACGGCCTCTTGAAGGTGACTCATCTCTGTCAACATAGCCACTTCTTCATCCTGTAAAACAATTAAATGATATTACGAAATATATCGGAGAAGATTTTGATTTACTAACCACCACGGGTTTAAGAAACCCAACGAAAGAGCAGAATCTCCCCCTTTCTTCGACGAGGGCTGCTCTTACGGCATGCTTCTCTGTCTCTTCTAGCAGCTGACGGCGCTCCGTGACATCCTGTAAGCCGCATTCGAAACGCTTCTGGACATCGCCCCCTGCGCCCTTTCTCATCTTCTTCTGTAGACGTAATGTGTCAGTGGATCGCTTTTTCAGTTCAGCTCTGGCTCTCTTGTAATCTAAAATGTTAAAATGTTAAAACGTACATTAAAAATACATCAAAAATAATAACCTACCTTTGGCATGCTCCTTATCCAAATTCAGAACAGTTTTCTTCCATTCTTCCAGTTTATCTTGTAGTGGCAATATCAGACATTCCATTATAACGCTGAAGAAGTAAAAAATATGTCACTTTTATCATATAAGCAAGATTGGCAATTATCATGATATTTATATAAATATCAAATTAATTACATAGTTATTAGTTATGTATAATATTATAGTAGCGAAATAAAATTAAGAAACTATTTAGGTAAATATTTTTATTCCAAATATCAAAAACAAGAACGAAAAAATAAATATAAATTTTGAAACATAAAAAATATTTGCGTGAATATTAAGTACAATGAAAACTAACCATTTTACCCCAAGTCAACATAAACTTCATAAATATTAAAACAAATACAAACATACAGCACCTGCTCGAATTGACTAACACGTGGAGAAATAATGAAATAAAAATATTCATTCAATTTTACTTTGTTGAAAAATTCGGGGAATCACATAAATAAACACGTTCATCAACAATTAGCATACGGTTTTGCTGCTATCTGTTTAAACCAGTAGGAATCATTATTTCAATTTTTATAAATATCATGATATACATATATCAAGGATTAAATATCGTGATAGATATCAATGATATATATCGGATATATATCATTGATATATCTCATGCCAACCTTGCATATAAGTATTTTATTTAGTTTCATTCTCCAACTTTTAAAGTAAGGTTGGTTTGAAAAGAATGCATATAGAAAATGTACACAAAAAAATACCTGGTAAAATTCTTCATTCTAGCTTCGACGGCTTTGTGACGCAGACATATCCGGGTAAGAGCTGTTCCAATGTCTCTCGTTGCACCTGAAACAACACCTAATAATGAAATCAAAAGAAACATGAAAAAATATATAGGGTGCTCAGAAGAGAACGAGCTATACTATGACGGTATTTTCCTTGGGTAAAAAAAAACAATTTGGATCAAGTTGGCTTAGTACAATTTTGTTTCCCTAAAATGTTACAGGCCTCCAAAAATTATTTTTTTTAGTGGGTGTTTCTGAGAGAGCGAAATATTGACCTTAAAAAATTGAAATAAGAAATTTGTTTTTGAAAGCTTTTAACATTTTAAGGAAGCTAGATTATACTGAAGTAACTTGGATCTAAATCGATTTATTTCCACGTACGGAAGTAACATCGAGATATGGCCCATTCGCTACCGGACACCCTGTTATAAACATTTCGTAAATAAATTTGAATTCAACCGATTACCGCGGCAGAGACCATAGAGACCATGGAAATTAATACAAATTATTAAACCAGAAAAAATATAAATAGTGGCGCCGCAAACAACTCCTCTGTATAAGCACTCGAATTTCTCATTTTCAAAAAAAAAACTCATTTTAGCTTAAATCATAAAATGCTGTGAGGTGAAGAGAAAAATATACATATCTATTGATGCTTTAAAACCGTAGCGAGTAGCCTCTGGCTTCCCTGTTCCTGTAATTTAGTCTACTTGGTAATCCATCACCGTCAAGTTGGCCGTTCTCTGTATAAGTTCGCACCTGATGCCCGATTTTTTTATAAGAAGATCGCCCCACGTTCTCTACTGCTCAACTCGCCACTTAAATAAAGTACGAACATGACACTTGCCGCCGCGTTATCTCGCATCTAGATGTAGTTCTCTTCATGTCCTCTTTATTACACAAACCCGAGCGAAAAATACATATCTCCTTACTTTTCCGTGCGCGCATGTCGCAATCCTAATGTGCCGTGGAGGATTGCAGATGGAACGTGTGACAAAACATCGTATATTACGCTGTTGTGGTGTTCTCTCGTTTCGAGTTTCGAGCGAAGCAGCTGGATGAAATGGAAATAATGAGTTTCTCGAGATAAGTTTTCTAACATCCGACATGCAGCTATTTCCGTGCAAAAAAGAAAATACCGTAAATTCAAAATTAATACGAGATGAACGAACAACTTCGGAAATAACAGTTCGCTTATTTATACAAACAATATATACAGGATTGTATAAAATAATATTTTTACAAGTTGTAAAATGACTGATATATTTTATGCACTTTCGGGACACTGCGCTAAAATTACACAAAAAAAATCATAGACGATACGTTTTAATTGGCGATTTTGTAAAACCCAAAAAAGGGGGTAATAAAGAAAATTAACAAGAGTTCAGAAATTAAAATTTGATTTCCGTCGCTACTTGAAGTTTCATAGAGACTTAGGTCAAGTGTTAAGGTCAATTGAACAACATCTTATAACCTGTAAGTAAGCCCATTGGCGGTAATTACTTTTTGATTTGTCACCAATCGTAGATAGTCTCTAGTTCAACGGTTGCATTTTAATCTTCATTTTTTAATTATATGTACTTACATAAAAAAATATTCTTTATGCTGTGTATAAAATTAACTTCACCTCAATTCACCTCTTGTGAAAACAAAGTACGAACCTGGAATGTACGATTTACATCCGGACCTTGCAATTTTTGTAGTTATAACAATTTAAATAAACTTTAATAAATTGGAACAGAAAAAAGCAACAGGACAATAAACTTTTCTAATCAAGAAATGCTGCTCACCACACGGTGAAGTAAAAAAAACGCGGGCAGGATTATTTACGTTTTTAAATACAGGGTGATTCACAACTTTCCAAAAAATTGGGAAGTTGTGACGCATATAGCATCTTGAAAAATGGAGTCACTGTCGTAAAAAATGCGCTCTCTCTCTCCACGTGGTCCAGGCGATTCCGAATACTGAATTCCGATTTTAGTGTTACGTTTTGCGATAGTGTTTACATTAGTTTTTTAAGTGTCAAAAATGGCTTACATGTATATCAACTCGAGTGGATGGATATCATTTTAATTTATGGTGCAGTAAGACAACATTTGTGTTATGGTGAAGCATAACAACATTTGTGTTAGTTCGTAGAAACTGTGTAAAGCGGGCCCAAATGTGTTTACACATCGGTGGACAAAATTTTGAACAGTTGTTGTAACATCAGGTATAGGGTGTTGAGCTTAAATGTGATACAAGCCTGTAGCTTCTTTATTTTTGGTCCGATTTTTAGAATGTAGGGTAAAAAAATCTATCTAATTATGATATTGCTGTTTTTATTAATGTAATAAATGGCCGACTAGGACACGTTTTTTTGTCGTCAAAATAGACTTTAAGAGACGAGAATACGTAATCTGTTTTTTGGAAAAAAAATCGCTAATACCAATCAACTGTTTTGATGTCAAGAAAAAAACAGCAGTGTCAGTTTTTTTTATCCTACATTCCAAAATAAAAATTTTTGAAATCAGCCAAAAAATAAAGTAGTTACAGGCATGTATCAGATTTAAGCGCCACACCTTGTATGCCAAATTATTTTTTCAATTAAAACTACATAGTAATTTTATTAATTAATAGTAATAATAGCAGTAAAAGCAGTTGAATTTGCTGATGTAAAATAGGTGTTATACAATTTTATATATTTCTTTTCTTGAAGAAATTCTTTCAAAGAATTATATATACAGGGTCGGAAAGTCCCCATGGTTCATCGGCCGTTACGTGAGAGCGATAAAGTAAGTCATAGAAATCCGTGCGATAGAGAAAGATGGCTATAATGAAGCCGTCTAATATTCACCGCCCATTTCGCTCTTCCACAAATGAGAAGTGGATCTTATTTGTGGAAGGGTGAAATGGGCGGTGACTATTAGACGCCTTCATTATAGCCATCTTTCTCTATCGCACGGATTTGCATGACTTTCTTTATGGCTCTCACGTAACGGCCGAAGAACCATGGGGACTTTCCGACCCTGTATAAAGATTTTTCAGAAGAAAAAAACAAAATTTAGACAAATAAAACATAAATGCAAAAATATTTTATAAACGCAAAATATATCTTTTTATTGGACAAGACTATCTTATTTCCATTGAAAATAAATACATAAAATAAATAAACATAATTTATGTATACTAAATTAACAAATCATAATTTTTTTTGTACCGAAAAATTAAAAAAATATTCTACGCATACAAAAATTTGTGCATAAACGGCAAAAGGAGTTTATGAGAAATATAACGAATCCCTATCTCCCACGTGTTAATTCTTGAAACATTTAAAAATAATTTCTAAAAAACGAAATGGTCAATCGCTTTAAAATTTAAATATGTTATTCGGAATGCTTTAACTATTGAACTAAAAATTTACGTACGTGTCTTAAGCCTAGATTTTATTCGAAGGAACTACCTTAAACAATAAACATCACCTGTAACTTTGTACGGGGTATAATATGAATAGACAGAGATGCCGACTATCAATATTAGTAGGTACGGTGGAATGTTATATCATATTATCTGAACGCACAGTGGGTCAATATTCAAATAAAAGTTCCAAAAGAAATTAACTGAGAACAATATATCAAGATATTTGTTTAAAAACAGTAAAAAATAAAAAGCTTTCTCCTTTTTTAAAAAAGAAGTACAATCGCATGTCCTTAGGAAAGTTTTAAAGTACATTTAGGACATTATTTAAAAGTAAGTACTGTCCTACATAAATAAGTACATATGGTCACCGTAGTTATAGGTAAGTGTTGTGTTCTATTTAAAGGAATATGTATATATTTTTATAGTAACTTTTGACTCTATTTTCCTTAATACATTTAGAAACCAAATACCTAATTTACTAATCGGAATGACTTCGTTTCTATTAGTCTGCTCCAGCAAGCTACTACGAGTAGAATTGTTGTAAACTGTTTGAACTATGAGCACTAACGATTTTCTGTTGAAAAACTGTTAGTGAACAATTATTAATGCGCTTACTCCTATTTTCAGTTTCCAACATTTCTAGTAGCTTTCTGGAACGTCTTTTACTGCGTGATAACCGTATCTACATCTACTTTCATGCCTTTAGTCAACTATTAGGGCGTTAGACCTGACTATGTCGATCGTGCCCCTTTCGTGTCGACGGCTATTACTCAAAAATCCACCCCTAAAAATTGTTTTCTAGAACATTTAGAACAGCAAGAAAAAGATTTCTGAATAATCCAAACAACGAACAATTCAATGTAACATACAGCGACTGATTAAACAGAAACATTTTTTTTAATTGTCTGTCCAACGAACAAAATCTCAAACAAAATTTATTGAGTTCCAGCAGCGGTTAAGTGAACGGTCAAGCCACGGCCAACTGAGTCGACTGTGGGTCAAACGAATCCGCGTCGAACGCCGTCGCTGCAATCCCAGACTGCAGTCCTGTCGATACAATTTCTGTGCGATTTAATTGAGAACGCAAGACATATCCTCAATTATACTCGTTAATTAATTGCGATTCGTATTGGCTATGGCATCGACGCGACATCTGCAACTATTGTGATGCTCGCGTCCCGATGTTTTGCCTTCAATATACCATATAAATCATTTGCGCCTGATTAATGGCCAATTGAGACCATTAACAATGAACAAGGCTCGGAAGAATAATAATAGCGGTGCATGTAATTTAATACGTTGCCTTTTTGCAAGCTCATAATGCGCTTTTTCAGACGTTTCGAGTGTAATAACGCGATACTTAATACGCCATTATGGTTGTTTACGGTTAGTGTTTGTTTTGGTTAACTGTAAAATTTGACTCGTTTCGAATGGAGCAGTAGGTATACAAGAACTGAAATTTGGGACCTGACATGAATACTAATAAATAAAACCTGTCCCAATATGAAAATCACTTTAATCGGACAAGCTATTTATATCTTACGTGATGCAAAAGCGTTTAACTAGCTGATAAAATTAGTAAAAAATAGCATGTTTCCTTGATCTTGTATCTTAATAAAATTTGATGGAAAAGCAGCGTTCCAATTAAGTGATCTAATTACT